ATGTGCACTTCCAGAACTGGGACAGTGGCATAGGATAACAGCTGAAGGAATCTTCATGTTACACATTGGTTCACCTCGTGCCTCCCAGTGCAATCATTTATGCATGTCTTTACAGCAGCTCATAAATTTATGTATACATTATCAGTGCAGATCAGGAGAGAGGTGCAGGACACAAACAAGTTGTACAATTTTACAGTAGCATTTACAAGATTTGAAATGGTGCTCCAAAACCTGATTGTTCAAGGTTTTTAGTGGAAAAAGTTTTAAGATGTCAGAGAACCTGTACAAAAAAAGGTACACTTATAAAAGTCAACAATTAGGGGAATGTAAAGATGCATCAGGAGCTGTTATGCTAAATTTGTACCAGGCCAGCTAGTAAAAGTTTAATTTAGGCCAAATCTTAATGTTTTATTTAGGTTACCTTAATTTAGGACTCGGAGACTGTTCTAACTAGAGCTGCATTTCTCAGACCAAGGTTAGGTATCAGTGATAAAAGATTTGTTGACCTCCTTTTAAAGTCTTTGTTACTGTGCTGGATTAGTTTGCTTTAGGTTTTTGTTCCCCCTGTATCTCGTGTTTCTGTTGTCTTCTATTTGCCGAGATCTGCTAAGCTTCAGAAATGTCAGAGCAATAAGTATGTCTCGCATTTTAATTCCTCGCAATGGCTGGGATTTGGTTTTAGGAAAATGGAGAGCAAGCAGAAAGGCAAGTCAATGAGCATTTTGAGCGCCTCTTTGACATCATTCAAGAGAGGAAGACGGACATGCTGAAGTCCATTGAGGTCTCGAAGACCAGGCGTCTGGATAAGCTGCGCAGTCAGATGGAGGAGTACCAGGGCATGCTGGAGAACAGTGGGCTGGTAGGCTATGCCCAGGAAGTGCTGAAGGAAACGGACCAGTCCTGCTTTGTCCAGACTGCAAAGCAACTGCACACCAGGTTAGGAAAGAGATGGTTAAACTGGTTTCATCTCTTAACTGCTTTCCTTCAGAAGTTCATTCAGGAAATTTCCATGGTTACATTTAATATGCATTTTCCCATGTTTTTAAATTGGGTCTATGTACTTAAGGGAAGATGTTCTCTGTCAATTTATTTTGAAGTGTAGTCACTATAGTTGGGAAGTCGAGTGAATTTATTAAATACCTTTCCACAGTATATTCACACCATATACTTTGTCATGAGTGCTGTGTAGGCACATTGGATGGGATTGGACACTCCTGTGACACCAGAGGAAGGCTCCACAGCCGAAATGTT